GCTCTCTTTCCAGACATGACAGCTGCATAGGATCTCTTGTCGAATGATTGGCTCAGCCCTGTGGTACATTACTCGACTTCCACGCAGAGAGCTGCAATCCAAAGCTCAACCGATCCTGGATATGTTTGTTGCCTATTTAGCGCCTGTGGTGGCGGCGGACAGTTGCGCCTCCAATATCGCCAGTCGTTGTGATCGCGCCAACGCTTTTGGTGTTACAATTTGACCATGAAGGGCACGATTTGAACCAAATGACTCGTAAAGCTGCCGGTAAAACACGATAAAAGTGACAATAAAACCTCATGTCTTTACATGAAACAGACTTCCTCCTATTTCTTGTTAACGCGTACTTGATGCTTTTCCTACACATATATCGAGCAGAGCTTATCAAGATTCGCATCTGATGAGCGCACTGTGGCCTGAAAGAAAAATAAGAGGATACGGACCAAGAAAGTCGATCACGATTGCAGTTTTATAACCATGCATGGGTCACGATGTGTTTTGAAGTCCTCTACTCCTTACCTGCCCTCTCTTTCAACAAAAAAGTTTACGACGACCCACTGCGTAACGCTTGTTCTTGAGTTCATTTTTCGCTAATGAATTAAATCCAGGGACGCAAAATCGGCATTGCGTTTTTGCATCACTGAAGGAGTTCAAGCTTTCTATGATACAGCACGAAACAGGTGTTCAAACGCGTGTCGTGGGCTTTCATGTGGGGTCAAGCGACGGTTGTACGAACAACTATTCCATTGTGACATGTTACGTCTATGTTCACGTGGTAACAACCTTCTTCCCCTCTAGCTCACTCTCTCTCTCTCCGTCTGTGTTCGTTCGTAAGAACGAGAGCACAGGCATTTCGCGCAGGCGCATTGCACGCTGACCGACCCGATGGCCACGTAGGGAACAAAGACGCGACGTCCGGTGACACAGGAAATGGGCGGTGACAGGCGGTTTGAATGGCGCCGGAAGCTGTGCGCTTGGCTCGTAATAATTCCAAAACACAAAAGGCGGGGGCTGAAACAAAAACGAATAGCCTTGCCGGACACGATGTTGGGCTGACTGCAAAGAAAAGCAGATTGCGATCTGATGAGACTCTCTTGGTGTTTGTATTGTCCGGCCGAGCGTGTGCGCGCGGAAAGGTTACTGTGATAACCGTGCTATACGCAATCATAAATGCAGTGAGCACGCATCCTTTCGAAAGAACAAGACCGCGAGCGAGCTTACGCTGGAAGCAGCTCTGTCTTTGTTTCTTTTCCTTCATGCAGAAACCTTTCAATAGCGCAGTACAATTAGTTCCATTGAAGTAGCCAGGGGGGGGGGAGCGGCTGTGTGTGTGGTTTCAGCCTTTTTCTCATGGTAAACTTGTCAATGTTGTATGCGTATTGATTGTCACGTGGTCATGACGTTGACTAATTAAGGCAGCAGATTGTATGAAACAGTTTACTTGGCTGAACTCGGGGCCGGTAAACAAAAAGTGGGCATTCAGCAATACACCCTCGCACTGATAGCGGCTACTACGGCTGTCGATCAACTGGTTGTCGTTGGCACTTTCCGTCTTTTATAAATCACGCAGCGAACTTAACATGTTTATCATTGGTTGGTGGTCGCAAAAGTTCAGGAATAAGCTTGAGTGTTCGCTTCGTGCGTGCAATTTTAACATAATGATCTACGATAGTCCTCAGCTTCTCGAACACGGCAGGCGCGGTTTGCGCTGAGCGTTACTTTATAGGCGGAAACGTCTTTAAAGTTTTTATGGATGTTAATAGAATACAGCAGAAGGTAAATAAGAAGCACGTGTGGCAATATACACTATCTCGTAAAAACACACGCACGCACGAACGTGAAAAGTGCTCAACTCTGGCCCTTTTCCTTCTACCCCGCCCTCATTGAGTTTTTTTTTTCTTCTACACCTCTGAATGATTCTGCCATGTTAAATGATGCAGGACAAACGACGGCTGGAATGCCTCCGCAAGGTTGCTGGCTATGGGACCTCTCTTTGTATGCTTTCGTACCTAATTGCAACGATGTCATAAAATAGGTATGATTAAAATGATGGACTTCAGTATTTCACTGATGCAAAACATCTGATAATAAAACGAACCACTTCTATTGACATGCGTATAAATCGAGACACAAGGAACGTGTGTTGAGTATACACAAGATCACGGTGAATATTTGTTCTTTTGTTGTTTTTCGTTTGCTGCCCAATTTCTACCTTTGAACGTATATAAAGTACCGCGTATTTCAGAACGCTTTGTGCTATCTGTGGACCTTGTACTGTTGTAGCGCGAACTTCAAGAACAAATAGCGCGCGCGAGAGAGAGATGACGAGGACATGGTGGGAATGCCATGGGTAAATCTGGTTTGATACCTTGAACAGAGGAAAAAAAAAACGTTTTTAAAATTAAGGTGGGGGAAAAAGAGGAGTCGACACATCTTGAGAGGCTGGCTGTGTATACTTGTATATGACTAGTCAACTGGTATCTAATCATGTAATGTTCGTAAGGTGGCCAGCGAAATCTCGAAACCTCGCGGCACGTTTTGCAAATGAGTACCTTGAACTCCGTACGATATTTTCACTAAACAGTATACTAATACGAACAAGCGAAAATAAGAAAACGAACTTGTGTGACCGAGCTTGTGTTATTGAGGTTTCACAGGCCCCAGTTGAGCGTTGTTTGCATTTTCCATATCAATATTACTACCAGCGGGCGATTATCCATGTCGCCAACTATCAGAGGAGCAGTCGCGTTGCCTGTGGACCCCGTCGTCGCATTAGCTGTGGTGGCGACAAGTCATCGTGTTCTCGTTTCGCAGAGCACTAATTAAAACAAATAGGCCACCATTTGAGGGCGTCTGTGTACTATAATGCCGACACTAATGGCCTTATTTGCCGGTTTTGTTTATTTTCTCGGCATGTGTGCTACGTATGAGTGAATAGTGACAAATGCGGCTCGACAGTAACATGAACAAAAAGACTTGCACGCAGTGCGTGCTTAACAATAGACGCACGTAGCTATAACCCTAATACGTACCGCGCCTGTGGTTTATGCAAGCAACTGGATTGAACGACAAACTGTCACTGTCCACAGACAATCTTACTGTGTAGTACTATGACGATATTCCAGTCATCCTATTTTTTTAATTACTGGCACACACTCTTATTCTTCTCTTACAATATTTTCTTTACCTCGTTTTCTCCTTCCCAAGTACAAGGTAGCTAACCGCTGTTTTTTTCTGGTTAACCTCCTGTCATTTTTTTTTATCTTTTTCTCTCCCTTGAACACAGTGGACGTGTCTGTCTACGGGAATGCGAACCTGACCAGTCATAAACGGGGCATGGCCCCGCCGCAGTGGTCTAGTGGCTAAGGTTAAGGTACTGAACCACAGGTCGCGGGATCGAATTCCGGCTGTGGCAGCTGCATTTTCGATGGAGATGAAAATGCTGTAGGCCCGTGTGCTCAGATTTGGGGCAAGTTAAAGAACCCGAGGTGGCCGAAATTTCCGGAGCCCTCCACTACGGCGTCTCTCAAATTCATATTGCGGGTTTAGGACGTTAAACCCCACATATCAATCAATCAATCAATCAATCAATCAATCAATCAATCAATCAAACATGGCATGTGTGATGGACCCGCAGTTTTGGCAAATGAACTTTCAACGCTGTGTAAGGAAAGTCCGCTTATTGAAACGCCGGCTCCGGCGCATACACCCTGTTTGGAAATTTCCAATCACATGCTTCCATGTTCCCCTTCCCACCCTTTTTTTCTTGTTGAGGACAACTAATCAGTTGTCACACGAAATGTCGGTCAAGCCATGGCTGAAGTATTTGCGTGGGAAATAAACTATTGTTCTCTGTTATTGGCTTCCTGTATCTTGTTTTACTCTGGCTTGATTTATTTCTATGTGTTTTTCCGTATTTTTTTCCCGAACTTTCTTCACCCTAGTGTGTACGGTAGCAAGGTACTCTCACGGGTAACGTTCTTGTTTTTCCACGTCTGTATATTTCTGCTTATCTTTGCCTCGAATATAATGAAATCTAAGCATGAAAATTAAAAAAAAATTGCGATCGCACTTGAGAAAATTTCGTGTTCCGCACGTGCCAATAACTTCGACGACAAAACGTGAAGCGAGTGTCATTATCGGTTCAAGAGTTTCAGCGAAGCGCCTTGGACTGAAATTACTGCCGCACTTTCGCAGCGAGAAATTATGCGAAAATGCAGAGCGCTGGAATCGAGCCATGGTGCGTATCATTATGTACTTGAGAGCGTCGAGAACCTGTAGAATCAGGGTAATAGAAAACTTTCACTGAAACTACGGTTAGCCTAACCTTTATGATCTTGTTTTAGGACACACCTAGATGGTTCACATGCAGACCCCCTTAAATCCTGAAGAACGCAGGGCAAGAATGTTACATGTTACAGTAGCTGTCTTTATATTTGGGCAATCCTAAAGCTTCTTAAAAACAACCGGTCTAAGCGGCTCACTACCTGCAGTCTATAACAAAATTAGAAACAGATTGACTCAGAACTTGGCGAAGTGTTTGTTTTTTTGTTACTGAAATTTGAGCTATATCTTGACATGGTACATGGGCATGGTCGTGAAGGGGGGCAGGGGTTTCCCCCATTCGCACTGAACATTTTCAATTTTGAATTACACGCGAAGGTATATATGCACGAAAACACCTCCACAGACAAATACATGCACGTAAATAAATAAAGAATGTTTAAATCTCCCCTAAAAAACAAAAACAGAAGGGATTTCTGACTATGCCCCGTCTTCGCAGTCACTTTGGCAATAGCCCAACGTTAGCCCAAATATGATTTCATCGTAACCGTTCAACGCAGGATTCTTCTACTCAACTCGAAGGTTTTGCCTGGAACTTCGCGGATCTTGCCTGGAACTTCGCGAAAACGCCCGGCTTGCACAAGCTCACCGTTGAAATTTGGAGGCGTTGCGTATGCAGCGAGGTAAAAAGAACATTGCGTCAAGTCTCAACTCACCGGTGAGGCTAAGATCGAACGATGGTTCGTCGACGTTGACCAGGTCCTGCAGCGTCCTCCACGTGAGCGTGACCAGCTTGTTCTGCGACAGGTCCACGGTCATCAGGTTGGGAGCGCCCAGGAACATGTTGGCCGGCAGCACACGCAGCCGATTGTACGACAGGTACAGGATCGCCAGCTGCGGAAGGCCGTCGAACGCCAGCGGGTCCACTTCGTCGATGGAGTTGTACTTGAGATCCAACTCTGCCAGCATGGGCGCACCGCCGAAGACGCGGGCGCCAAGCCTGCGAACTTTGTTGCGAAACAGGTCCAGGCGAGTGAGCTGGTCGAGTCCCTTGAACGTCCCTTCCACGAGGTTCTCGATGACGTTGTCGCTGAGGTCCAACTCGCTGAGGCTGCTCAGCTGAACAAAAGCCAAGTCTTCGATAGTCGTGATCTGGTTCTTTTCTAAATAGAGGTGCGTAAGGGACGGCAGCTCTGTCAGGACTCCAGCGGATAAGGTCGTCAGATTGTTGTCGGCGAGTTCGAGCTTGCGAAGCCTCGGCAAGTGCGAGACGGCCTCCTTCTCCAGGTCTGTAATCTCGTTGGAGTCCAACGAAAGCACGGCCAGTCTACTTAAGTTGTAGAAGGCCCGTTTCCTTAGCACGCCCAGGTTCATCTGTGAAAACTTGAGCTTCTCAAGGCCCGGCATACGGTTCAGAGTGTCGCTCGGAATGAAGTCCATCTTGTGGGTGCCTGATGCGTACGTGGTGAAACCCAGCGACTCCACGGACGCTCGCCCTTCGAAGATCTTCAGGAAGGCGTCGTCCGCCGCGAACTGGGCCGTGATGAAACACTGCACGTCGCTGGGGTCTTCGCCGTCGCCGTCTTCCACGTTGCAGCGGCAGTACATTGGCTGGTAGGTTGAGTCGCATAACTTTGGTGAGCCTGAGGCTTCTGACACACCCCTCGAGGTGAGGGCGACTACTGAATATGCCAGGAGTGCAGCGTATCTGGGAAGTGTAAAAGAAAGGCTGAAATGAGCCACAAGTTTGCGCAAGTACGATAAATTGCACTTTTTGCCCTAAAATGAAAACTTGATTGTGCGTTCACTTAAAAGTAACCTGAAAATTGGCAGAAGGGACAGACCCTCTGGGTTAAATTGTGCAATATAAGATACACGGTTAGGTTCATATGAAGTACTTCTGTTCACCGGAAGTACTGGAATACAGTTTTAATTTCAATAAAGAAAACCTTAAAAAGCATTTCTCTCTTAATTGAGTTTTCATATTGTATGTATATATACCAACAGACATGTTCCTTTCTGTACACGAACATGTCTGAAGGAGAGTTAAACCCGTGCCGAGGTAAATAACTAGCTACGCCTCGATTAGGCAGGTGTCAGTAAAAGTGTGTTCATGTGTTATATATATATATATATATATATATAAACACGCACACACACATGGCATGACCATCGTTATCTATACATTGCCATATTGTATGCGTTTATTTCGTCCCTTTTGATTCCTACGTCTTTTTAAGCCGTGGTACAATTGATTTAGAGAACGCGGAAGTTAACTTAATTTTACCCATGAGGTCGTTTCGACATCGGCGCACGGAGAGAATGAATAACGGCACCACCTCGTCAGGAAAGCTGGAGCGCTTCCCTTTTTCGACGGACAATACAAAGCGACCGAAGCGCGGACAGGCTCAGTTGACCTTGTTTCGAAAGGAGCGCCACTTATCGACATATCGATTTGGCCAAGCCTCGGTGCAGCTCCAAGGACTGAGCGTGGCGCCTCCATTGCTTTATAGCTTCGTACTTTATGGCACACAGTTGTCGAGGGCCTGGCCTGGCCTTAGCGTGATCGCGAGCTCTGGTGCCGAAGCCTGCACGTGACACATTGTGTCCGTCACGAAACAAGACTCCCCGTGAAGGATGAGGAGTGTATAGCTGTACACAGTGTGCCGATGCGCAGAGCCCAGAAACATTGGTCTTGGATGGCGATGATCTCATGCTTGGACGATACGTATGCCCAGTGACCTGGTGGGTAAAAAATTACCAGGCACAGCGCGTGAGTCTTATTCGCTGTTCTTTTAAGGAGCACTTTAAGGGGTCTACCTTTCGTATGCTGTCGTCTTTGCTTGGCGTTACACTAGAAAAAGAACATATAGCATGGCCAGCTGCAGCATACTGAGCATGCGCTCACGCCAAAAACAAAAAAGTCTTCGTGCTCGTCTCCTTAGAGCGGTTTTATCACGATATGAAAAGCGGAAGATCCTGCTGTGGCCAGGGAAACAAGACAACTTAGACCACGTATAGAAATTGGCGGAAGCAAGTGGGAAATGGAAAGAGAGAAATTAATAAAAAAGGACGAAATTACAAATAAAGAAAAACAAAAAAAAAACTGAAAAGGAAAGTAAAAAAAGGAGGAATCAAAAAAAGAAAACCGATGAGAAACCAAGAAGACTGCCCATTTCCCTCAGGCATGGCACGTCTACGACGAAGCTGCCTTGAATTTTTTTTCTTTCATCGTTTTACGTTGTTTACTTTTTATATTTAGCGAGTATGCTGGTCGTGTGTTCAGTTCACCATTAATACCTGATGAATCGAGGGAAAGCCAACAAAGCGACATGAATGGCTGAGGAAATTGGCTTTCAAGTGGACGCTGCACAAAGAACAGCTGCTATGCCCAGCAGCTGTAACGAAACAGCAGCTCTGCACGGTAATGCTGAAATATGTATTACGCAGTGGCCACAGTCGAGCAAAAAGTAAGATTTTTTAAAATACAATGAAGCTCTGCTGATGCCACGAACATTACATGCACAGTTGAGAGTTGTTGACCACTAGATGGTTCCCAGAGAACATACTTTCATGATGAAGATGATGATGATTGCCTCTCTTTTTGAAACTAAGCGGCTGCAAGGGCCAGAGTATGACCAGAGCTTCGTCTACTGGTGTAACAAAAGTAATAATTACGGTAGGTGTTTTAAATTTCAATCATATGGTATAATTACGAGAGACGCCGTAGTGTAGGCCTCCGGAAATTGCGACCCCCTGGGGTTCTTTAACGTGCACTTAAGCCAGAGCAGACGGGCCTCTTGCTATTAACTTCCGTTGAAATGCAGCCGCCATGGCCGGCATTTGATGCCGCGTCCTTCGAATCAACGGTAGAACACCGTAACCCGTATCACCATGTTGGGCGAGTATAACAAATGAAGTAATAGGATCATAAAAAGAACGGAAGAAATGACATAATTTTTCACTGGTACAGCATTTTACGTACTTACGTTAATCTTGCCGTTTAAAGTATCGGGGCATCCGCAAGAGGTGTTTTCTTTCGGCAGCTGTTGATATCGTTCACGGTTGTTGCAATCAACGCCAATTCTTAAACGTTGCATTATATACAAACACCAGGAGATGGGAGTGTGAAGCCACAACTTTTAATTTGTTTTCGTCGTTTCCGATGTAGCTAAAGTATGTATAATGGGACAAAAAATCACGACGGACCTCTCATTCTTCAAGTGTTCTCAGATGTATAACAAGGCCACGACGTGCCGGAGCGTGACACGTCGAATAGACGCCTAAAGAAGCGGGAGTGCTGGAGGCCATCGTTTAATCGCCGCGTTACGCCTGGCTAAGCATGACTCGAGTAGTTTGTTCCGACGAACTTGGAATCCGGCCCAGAAGCTTCCAGCTGAAGCACGCTGGCGAGGAGTTCAAAATCTGTGATTTTGCCACACATTACAGGCATCAGGCATCGAAAGCGCGCCAACTGACAGGCCTTTAAAAGTGTGATCAAGTATCATAAAACAGTTTTGCTACATGACACTGGAAATCGGTATGGCAGAATGAATAAATATTGTCCCGTGGTTTGGATACATGAATTGACCTATATATTATGTTTAACTGGGTAAGTTCCCATAGTTTTACACATGATGCTCAGCCTCTTAACATGTATATCCCGATAAATATGTACGAGCCGCTGTTCGCCAATGGTTGTGGAACTCTTCTATGTTGGTGGTGTGAAGAAGAAAGAGCATCGTTGGCAAGCAACATCGCCACCGCTTCGGTACTGGGTGATGGGCTTCGCTCGCTCGGCTCGTGCTGATCATCGCCGGCATCTGCTTGACCGTTGCTCTTGCACGATCGTGTTTCTTCGTAGGACCACCGTCGCAACAGTCGCCAATAAACCCTTTTTCAGTGGTTTGATTTACAGACGTAGTACTTAAGTTTGCCATGCGTAAACAATATATAATAGTGCGTTTTTATTCAGACATACACGCGTATAATAAAGACTAGAAGTTTTACCCGGAACGCTTCACTATATACTGCTTTCATTAAAACCTCAGTTTCGCTGCAGCACGGCAAATCCAACAATTCAGTTACTCATCTGCAGCGAGCAGATTTTATAAATTTTATCAATAGCTTCAACAAGAAGTACACCGAGAAGCTCGCTGGGAAAAGTGGCAATATCGGAGCTAGAAAAGCGAAAAAGTAAAGCACTTCAGACTGATTTGTTGTGCCTTGATTCTTTGCAAGACTTGAACCAAGCTTGTGCGAATCACTTTGCAGTTGCGACGATCAAGGAGTTCTCGTCTACCTCGGAATCGAATCAGCTGTCACCGAGGGAGGAAATCAGGGCAGGCATCTGATTGAGTTGACCACCGGCAGGAGGGCGTACCACTCACGCACGTTCGGACAGTCGAGTGACTTCAGCCTGTACAGCGAACGTGGCTGGAATGCGGAGCCAGAACACTGTTGTGTGACATTAGTTGTCTACGTGCACATCTGGTTAAGTTTCGCAACGGATGGATCAGACAGGAAGCTCAATAAAGCTTCGCAACAATATCCTGTTCCACAACAGAAAGCAAAACCTATATATCAATAATAACAGGGCGAGAAAAGAAGCACCAGGCTTGTCAAGCCACACCAAAAAGCTCTAGCCCCACCGCGGTTGTCTAGTCGCTAGTGCACTCGGCTGCTGAACCGCAGGTCGCGGGATCGAATACCGGCTTAGGCGACTGCATTTTCGATGGAGGCAAAAATGCTGTAGGCCCGTGTGCTCAGATTTGGGTCCACGTTGAACAATTCCAGGTGGTTGAAATTTCCGGATCGCCCCACCACGGTGGTCTAGTGGCTAAGGTACTCGGCTGCTTGCCCCACAGGTCGCGGGTTCGAATCCCTGCTGCGGCGGCTGCATTTCCGATGGAGGCGGAAATGTTGTAGGCCCGTGTGCTCAGATTTGGGTGCACGTTAAAGAACCCCAGGTGGTCGAAATTTCCGGAGCCCTCCACTACGGCGTCTCTCATAATTATATGGTGGTTTTGGGACGTTAAACCCCACATATAAATCAATCAATCAATCAATCAATCAATCAATCAAATTTCCGGATCCCTCCACTACGGCGTCTTTCATAATCATATGGTGGTTTTGGGATGTTGAACCACACATATCAATCAATTACCAACAAGTTCTGGGTCAGATCATTTTAAACTCTATTCAAGTGCCTTTTCATTTATTTTTAAGGAAGATATTCAGACCGACTGTGACGTTCGACACGTTGGCGAGGACGCGAAGTTCATCTTGAAGTGCATGCGCGAGATTCTGCAAACACCGCAACGTCCTTGCCAGAATCTGCAGTTTCAAAATTATGGCTGTAATTGAATTTCTATATCTGCTCGCACGCATACATGGCACGAATATGTGACATGTATTTAATGTATAGCGATACACGTGCACGCCATATATATCCACGCGCATACGAAACACATGCATTTAAGTAAACACTTTGCACGGCGCATCAATACGAATCAATACGAATGGCGAACATGTCCGCATTACTTCGAGAACTACTTCGAAACGACATGTGGGCAGCCCATAACGTGAGGTTCTGACCTTTCAAGTGAAACTGTGTTTCTCGTATGAATTACTCAACATAACAGGCAAACGATCCAATAGCACGACAATAAAGAATGGTACCGCAAGGGACAAGTCACACGCCATTCCATTTTGGGATCCCCAGAAAGGCGCATATGACTGTTGCACAGAGGAACGTTTCATGCTTGTTCGCTTGAAGGTCAACTTAATCAGCCTCGGGCAGCCGCCGTAGTTCGGGAACTCAGGAGCTGTTGGCCTTCTCAGTGGCACTAAATGTCTCGCATGTCCGCTTCGTATTAAGCGTTGCACGAGCGCCCATGTAATTGCACCAATTGAGTTTCGTAAAATGTTTTTATAGGAAATTATATGGTTTCGCACAGTCTTAACAGAATGCTCGTGCTCCAGATAACATCCCCAGTTCGCTGTGACTCATATGGCTGATGAAATATTTTCGCACCCTGTTTTCGTGCTGCGACATTAGCGCACCCTGTCATGACCCTTTAGTTACATGCCAGGTAAATTGCACTTATCCGGCCAATAATGCGTTGCGACGTTGAACTCATAAACAACTTACTAACTTGCGCTCCAAGGGCCACACGATATTCGCGAGCGATAATTCAATACGCGACCTCATTTATTCCTGTATATTATCGGCAACGTTTCATTTACTATTTGACTGATCGGGAAGACCATGGTTGCACGCGAGAAGGGAAGATGGCTCTACTTGGGGATTTTGATCTCTTATCCTCGAATACGAGTTATCGGGGGTTGCAATACACTGACGACATTTTTTGTTCAAAGTGATGACTGACACTGTGACACAAGATAATTTAGGGGCGAAGTTCCTTTCGCCTTGGGTCGTTCCCTCCTCTGTAGTAGTAGTCATAGTAGTAGTAGTATTTAGCCACCTCTAGTTCATGAGTTGTTCTATCGATGGCGTCGTGTGTATATGTCCCTGGAAATGATATAACTAGATGGCGTTAGTGGTTTTCACAGCATATATCATCGGAGTGAATGATGAGTGGGGTGAAGCGTCCGTCCGTCCGTGCGTCCGCAAGTCTGTTTCAAGGAGACAGACAGACGGACGGATGGACGGACGGACAGATAGACGGATGTGCTATTCACGATTTACCAATAAAACCCTCCGACGCTTCGCCCCACTCATCATCAATCACTCCGTGGATACGCTGTGATTCTTTTTAACAAGACCTTCTTATCCAGAAGAATGTGGGGATGTTCAAGCCCCTCCCCTCCACCCTCTCCCTCTTAACTCATGCATCTATTCAATTAATATCGAACCTACAAATGAACGCTAATCCGTTGATGTGTGAGTAGACATAATTTGTAGACACGTGAGCCGGCATAAGGCTGATAATAATGCTGATATTGAAGTAATTAGAATAATATTGGGGTGGAGCATGCACATTTGGCAAGCACTCTCAAATTATGACAGGTAGATTGCCACTGTCCCTCAAGAGGAACGTATATAACAGCTGTATCTTGCCGGTACTTAGCTACGGAGCAGAAACCTGCAGACTTACAGAGAGGGTTCAGCTTAAATTGAGGACGACGCAGCGAGCAATGGAAAGAAAATGGTAGGTGTAACCTTACGAAACAAGAAGAGAGCAGAGTGGATTAGAGAACAAACGGGGGTTAAGGATATCATAGTTGAAATCAAAAAGAGGAAGTGGACATGGGCCGGGCGTGTAGCGAAAAGGCAGGATAACCACTGGTAATTAAGGGTAACTAACTGTATTCCCAGAGAAGGCAAGCGGGTTAGGGGGAGACAGAAGGTTAGGTTGGCAAATGAGATTAAGAAGTTAGTGGGTATAAAATGGCAGCAGCAAGCACAGGACCAAGTTGAATGGCGGAACATGGGAGGGGCCTTTGTCCTGCAGTCGACGTAGTCAGGCTGATGATGATGATGATGAATGCTGAGGCTGAATAGATAAGATGAAAGGTCGGCAAAACTATGGGGAGCTCGCTCGATCACTTATGAAATGCACTTCGCCCTTACGGATCCAAGTTTTTCTCAACCGAACTCACTCGTACTCAGGCTGAAAAAATATTACTCACCCCGACTATCTGAAATTCAAGGCTAGATCATGAGTCAGCTCATAAGAGAGTTTGCTGACCTATGACATTAGCCAGTGATATTAACGACTATAGTCGTCAACTAGGGCTTCATATCTTTGCAGAGCGTAGCACACAATAAATTACTGACCGGGCGAAGCCATCATAGTGTTATACACTACTCACAATGACGCGAAAACACTGACCACGACAATGTGAATAGTTCCGAGAAACTCTGATTATTCAAACTTTTTTAAAATATTTACTGGTAACCCAGTCACTAAGGGCGTTATGACATCAAAATCATTCCCGATGCTAGTATAATATTTCAGGCATTAAACAACAGTATGCAGGAAATGTGTGCTTCGGAGTGCTAAATTGAGCGCATTATGGAAGTAACCTCATTGCAAAGTTTTCTAAACTCACTAGCGACGCCTATATCTGTGGGGCTATTTATTTATTTATTTATTTATTTGTTTATTCATTCATTTACGTTAGACGTAGTTGACTCGCAGAAAGAAATGCTCCACAGAGAGCACTATGCAGATATGTGAGCAGTACGACCCGATGCCAGGACCAGTTTTCGTGGCAACTTGAGCTCCTGGAAGTGGCGTGTTCAACAAAGCGCATCCACCTGCCTGTCTTGAGAGTCGTGTCATGTTCGGTCATTCGCACCGCTTCATTGCGTATACTCCAGGGTCGCCTGCTCGTTCGATAGTCACCATTAGCGTCCCTGATGGCGTGTCGTGGTGTTTTTGTATGCGTTACATAAACGTGCGGGTGAGCATTGTTGCATGCAATGCGAACCGAGGATCTCCTACCTCAGCAAGCGTTCTCTTCGAAAACCTCACTTGCTTTCATTTCGTAGTTGCCTACGATATTGACTCGTCTTGGCTACAATCTGTGTTCGGAGGAAACAATAATGGTACGATGGCCTCACAGTGGTCGTTTCTGCAGACGTCCATCAAGGCACGTTTAATGCGATAAGTGGATATAAAGGTTTAACGTATGGGTGGCTTATTAGACAAATGCTATATGATTTTCCCAGACAATACCCACCTGTTATGTCCATCTGCTCTGTTTTGCCGCCATTATTTTCATCCTTCCTCTTGATTCCTTCGTTCAGTATAGGGTATCAAACAAAATATTGTTCTTCTGTATGAACTCCTCACCCTCTTTATACTTTTTGTCGCGCTCTCACACACATTCACACACCCCAGGTGGTTGACATTTCCGGAGCCCTCCACTACGGCGTCTTTCATAATCCTATCGTGATTTTGGGACGTTCAACCCCACAAATCAATCAATCAATCAATCAATCGATCAATCAATCAATCAATCAATCAATCAATCAACACACACCCACACACGCCTTTACACTTTTTATTTCCTTATTCTGTCAGGGTTAGCGTTTCTTGAAGAGTCCTACGTAATTAGTGAGCATCTTTCCACGATGAATATCATCGCGAAAGGTAGCACGCGCTGTCCAAATAAACGCAGAAAACGCTTAGCCCAAAACAACAAGTAAATTTTGTGTTGAATATTTTATATTCGTCGTCCAGTTACACTCAACTACGATATTGCAGCGTCAGAAATGCAAGTCACAGTAATAGCGCATGCAGGTGGAACCAGTGCACGTGGAACTTTTCTGTGGCATTTTTAGTTTTATTATTGTAAGCTATTAGGCTAAGTATAGCAAAGAGCCTATGACAAGTTGTCATATGTGGAATGAAACAAGAGACGTAATGGCGTAAAATGCTCCCATGCCATCAGTCTTCATCAACCAATACTTTTGTTCTGATGTGTGCCATATTTATCTTTGAGAGTGCGAACAAAAAAATGTATAACCTGGTTTCTTTTTTCTTTTTTTTTTGCTCCAATATTACCACATTCTCAGCCTTTGTTCGTGATTAACATAAAAATGAAAAAAAAAATTAAAAGATGAGAGAAATTTTGAGAGATAACCATTTTCTGATTTTGTATACATCGCATATTGGTGAATGAGCTATTGCGTTGTTCTCTTGATATTGTCGACACATTAATTAATTGGTCGATGCGGCCTAGAGGCATAGCCATACTTGCCATAAAGGGCTTGAATCAACTTTTGCACGATTTTGATTTCACAGAAAGCTCTGTAGGCACCTATAACAACCCGAAGTTTGTCGCTATGAAGTCACTAACGGCACAGCAGCAGCGAGAGTATTCCATCGAAAGTAAACGTGTGGATGGTGCAACAATATTTTATGAGTTGTCGCATAACATCCATCAGCGTGTGTTTGTTTTTTAATATGAACTTCTCGCAAGATTTTACAGCTTTCATTCTTTAACGACACAATACGGCACTGCATTTTTTGTGAATTGGCGGGAAGTGCAGTCGCGCTTGGGAAAGATCCAGCTGGAGTGGGAGCTCCCATTCCCAGAGTTATAAATGACTACTGCTGTACGTTAGATACTTGAACAGCTGGTTGAAAAGCTGTCACATGATTTCAGTAGGCCATGACTTTGGAACACTGTGGCTTTGTACTACTCGCACATAGAGGCAAGAGAGGGTGGGATTATAACCGCTCTTCTCCAAAATTCTAACTTTGCATGCGCATATATACATGCACACATACAAACGTACACACGAACACACATCAAGTGTATGGTTGAACACCACACACACAAAAAAAAAATCTGGTTACGCTACTTCTTCATGCCGTTGAATGACACAAAATGTCACAAATTAATGTGAATTTGTAAAGGAGATATTTCAAGCGCGAGATCAATCATTATCGACTTACCTGAACAGATGTCCGACACTTCGTGGGGCAAATAGTCTCATCCGACGCTCCATGTCAGCGGCGACTCCCACACTTCCCTACGGACCACGCAGTTTTCTTTCAAGCTTCGCGCGGCATGTCGCAAAAAGTAGTGTGTGCCAAGCCCTTCGATCAGAGCAACGTGAAACTCGGCGTTGTACGCACAGGTGAAATCACCGGAAGAGAAAGCGAGGTAGGGAGACGCATAGGCTTGACGCTAGCGAGCGGGTGAGGAGGAGGAGGGACTTCACTGCAAAAGGCGGCAAACCGCCGAGTGAAGGGAGGGGGGCGGGGTCCGCGACCGCAGTGCCGCGCGCGTCGCTGGACCGTGCGCTCGGCGAGGACGTCGGCGACAACGCGCTCGAAACTCTCTAGCAGCGTCCCGAGCGCGCTTCGGGCATCGACTGCGCGCCGCGTCCCGTTTCCGGCTCTTGGGGCAACGAGGGAGAGCCGGCGCCAAGTTGGGCGCCGCGCGGCGCTCCGCGACCTCGCCGCCGTGGACGGGCGCTGGCCGCTCCCCCTTTCTCACGCATGCTCTCTCTCTCTCTCTTTCACCGAGTCCTTGATTCGTTCGGTTGACTCGCACGCATGGGGTTGTTACTTGTAGCGAAGGGGTGAACGCGCAATGGTTATCGCCTATAAGTTTTTCGCCCCAAAGCTGAATTCGGACGTGTCGGTTAGGCTTAACTGCTACGATACAGTAGATATGGTAGTTTAGCACCGCTGGATTCCGTGTTGACCGGTTGTGCCATTGCGATCTCCGACGACAGGGCAGCTCTGGCCGACTGGGTTGGTCCTACGCCACTTCCTGACGCCGGTCCCCGACGACGACGACAGCGTAGCTCTGGGCGACTGGATTAGCCCTACGCCATCTCCTGTTGCCGACAAGAACTCTCGCCGGTGGTGCCCCATCCTCGGGCTCTTGCGACCGTGTTCATCTTTCCTATTTTCTCCTTACTTCCGTCACTCGCTGTGCCTGCGCCTCTCTCTATGTATATTTACCTTTTAATCCTACGCTTTTATTCCCTCCTTACCCCCATCCTTTGTGAGCTACTGTTGAGGTGTCGCACCAAATGCAAACAGTTATGGGGCTCACTTTTCTTTTCTTTTTCTTTTTATAACCACATAAATAATGAACGCGCAGATGAAGCTGGAGCTTGATGCATACTAAAGGTATCAGCCCGAGAACGACGTAAATAAGATGGAAAAAGGAGGCTGGACAGCACTCGTCCCGTTTCCTCCTTTTTATGTGTTTCTGTCGGTTTTTCATTGTTACATTAAATACGCGTCGATTGGACCTCGGTCACCTTTCTACCTTACGCAGGGCTACCCTGGTAAGTGAGGGTGAAGTAGTCCTTGGATCTACTTCAGCTGCGTGAGAGCGATCTAACATCCTGGGGTGTTGATTGAAGCTCTTTTCGACCTCCTTGCGCGCTCTGTGTGGTGGAGAGCTACAGTTTTGCGCAGAATTATACCCAACGTAGATGTCTCGAAAACCGTGTGCGAAAAAATTAAAAAAAAAACACTCATCAGAAATAAGAACGATTAATAAGTTGTGGTCCATGTGGTGCATGTCATGTCCCGTTTGAAGATTTAGTTTTATGCAACGCCCCACCACGGTGGTCCAGTGGCTAAAGTACTCAGCTGCTGACCCGCGGCTCACGGGATCGCATCCCGGAGGCGGCGACTGCATTTCCGATGCAGGCGAGAACGCTGTAGGTCAATGTGCTCAGATTTAGGTGCACGTTAAAGAACTCCAGGTAGTCGAAATTTCCCCGAGTCCTCCACCACAGGGTCTCTCATAACCATATGGTAATATTGGGACGTTAGACCCTGCATAATAGCTAAAGTTGTTTGGAAGACTGGAAACGCACAGACTCGCATTAGTGTTCATTTAGTACATACAGGGTGTCTCAAAAAAACGTGTTCAATATTCTTTAAAGTTACAGAAAAGAGGGATAGCGAGCTACTTGCGGCTTTGCCTTTTATTGTGGCATTTTCAGATGCGTACAAACAATAATTACTGCAGCAATTATGAAAATAAGCACAAGTGACTTTTTAGCCAGCGGTGATAGCCGGTTGAGTCAAATGGGTGAATTCAAGCTCCCGGTCCTACTAATAGTCCAAAGTCACTTTGAAATTTCCAAAAAAGTGGCCACTTGTAATCACCATGGAGCGATGCAATCTGGCCAATTTAGCAGGCGAAACTGACACCGACGCACCAAACAGCGCATCTACCATTCACTTTGACAACAACCCCAGTGACGATACTGTTTACCTCGCCGTTATCAACCGTCTATTGCTTCGCTTCGCTTCGAGGCCGCTTTGGCCGCTTATCGACACTCGCATATCCCCCCCCCCCCCCCCAATGCGAGAGAAACAGTGTCGTCATTGAGGGTGTTGCTGAAGTGAATGGTAGATGCGCTGCTTGGTGCGTCGGTTTCGGTTTCGCCAGCTGAATTGGCCAGATTGCATCGCTCCACGGGGATTACCAGTGGCCGCTTTCCGAAACTTCAAAGTGGCTATGTGCTATTCGTAGGACAGAGAGCTTGAATTCACCCTTTTACTTGACCAGCTATTACCACTAGTTAAAAAGCCGATTGTGTGAATTTCTATAATTATTATAATTATTGCCGTAATTAAAGTTCGTACCCATATGAAGATGCCTACAATAAAGTTGTTACCATGCACCAAACCAATCTCAAGATGCCTTCTGCCACAGAAAGGCAACGCCGCAAAAAGGACGCAGATAACTTCTTTCTGTATTTTTTAAAGAATATTGGACACATTTTTTGAAACACCCAGTATAGTCTTGCTTGTGAATCCTCCCTCCCGCACTGCTGACCCTCCCCTCTTTTTCGCCTTCCTCCCCTCTTCGGGAGATGTTCCATAATTTTTTTCGGCCCTCACGTGGCGGATCATACAATTCTGATCAGTAAGAACAATGCCCTATATTATGATGAAACGTTCTCGCTTCGTTCCTGCCTGCAACTTTGAGTTCAGGTAAGGATCTGTAAAAATTCGAAAAGCTCGAATAACCGATCAACCGAAAGTTATTATTCCTAGGATCAGACTTTTGAAATAACAAAAAAAGAATCAAATGATCTATTAAATTCAGTGCTTATCACATATAACATATTCAGAATGCCGATCATGTTTCGAATAATCAGCATTAGGGGAAAACCCACAAAGGAGCAACACGTGTTAGAACATCAAGGCAGCACTCATCTTGTTTTGATTTTTGAATTACCAAGATAAATGCATGCAGCGCAACCATTTAGGAACTACCAATTTCGTCGTGGTCGCAGATAAAGTAGCCTTTAAAGCTTTGGTTTTGTCAAGCGAAAGTGTCATTTTCCATCTGTTATACATGAAATTCATGGGGTCAACTCTGCAAACATATCGTTCATTTTTATGCTTCAGTTTTTTTTATGAGGTGGGGACGAAGTACTTCCTTGAATTATCAACTAACCGCTGTATTTCAGTGTACAGTTAAAAAATTTTCTCCTCGGTGGTCACTGCATATACATGGCTACCTTAGTTAAAAAAAACATAAAACTCGCATTTTTCGGCAAAACATAATCGTAACGCCCCGTTTATTATTATTTGTGATTATTCGTTCCAAATTAAATACTGTTGAAACACATAACTGTTTTTCAGATTGCTCTCCTTCTCTCCTCTCTTTCTCTTTTCAATCCCCATCTCCTGTCCCCAGTGCAGGCTAGCAAACTGGACGCTCATCTGGTTAACTTCCCGGCCTTTCCTCTCTTGTTTTTTCCTCCTCACTGCCTTACTGTTTGAATAGTGTTCATTTGTATTTGTATTTGATTTGTGATCAGTTGTACTGTGTGATTCGTATTCTATTCGGTTCTAAGATTGGCTATTCGCGCACAGCCGTATATGTGCAGGTAGTCGACAGAAAAAAGCATCTTTGTCCAATTCCTGGAATGCAAAAAGCTATTCAAGACTTGAGCTCCTGTGATACCGAGATCTGGTGCTGAATAAGTGGTTCGTGCCTTGTCTATTATATTGTGGGCTATGTGCGAACGGAGCTGATTTTTTGCATCAATTGTAAAATATGCAAGGCCACTTGCCTAAACATAAAAAAAAACGGCACCCCAAATCTGCGGGCCGGGTTATTGGAACCATTGGCCTCTTTTACCTCCCAGGCGGGCTAAGCCCGCGCTTCTGTTTTGTAGACAACTTTTAGGGGTGAAGCACTTTAAGTCGTGCGTCCTCGATGTATGTAGTTGTAGGTAGCCACCTCTCGTTTAGTTCTTGGAATGTCCGCTAGATGGTGGAACTTTTATTTATTGAATATAAAATGAAAAGATGCGGCAAGATAGTGGTACTTGAAAGTGTTCACAAGACAGACGGACGGACGGACGGACGGAAGGACGGACGGATGGACGGACGGATGGACGGACGGATGGACGGACGGATGGACGGACGGATGGATGGATGGATTGATGGATGGATGGACGGATGGACGGATGGATGGACAATTCACGGTTTACCGATGAAACCTTCCGAAGCTTTTCTCTACTCTTCATAATTCACTCCGTGGATATGCTGTAATTTTTATTGCACAGATAAAAAAACTTGCTTCGTGTACGAATGTGTTTTCTCCTCAACTAATATCATGTTTTTTTTTGCTGACAAAATATACACATGGCGTCTTGACAAATCACGGCTGCACTGTGTTTGTCATCACTACGCGGAATGTCAAAGGGTGTTCACAGTGCTTTCAAACCGGACTGATGTGTGCCTGTCAATAGTAATAACTGGACAGTGCGCACAGTACAATTTCTGGTGCACGTGTGGAACTGACAACTTTTCATCAAAGACTGGTATTGTGCATATCTTTTGGTTTCTCACAATTTTTCTCCCTTATTGAAGGTCGGTTGAGGAATGTCAGGGATGCTATTGTAATACGACAACCGGCCAATTTTGTTCTACTTCACGTATTTCTTTTGTGATATCTTGCACGGGGACCCACCATTGGAGATACGTGCGCTGCAGACGTTGGGACGCGTTGAAGGGAATCACGTGACAGTACCCTGCTTCACGGAACCTTACTCCGACAACGGGAAGCTGGCAGCCCGAGCGCGTTTTTAGATGCGAAGCAGCGAGCTTCATGCGGTGTGCGTGGCCTCTCTTACTGCACAGGCGCGACAGCTTGCCACAAGCACTGCCAGAACACGCTCACGCATAGAGTTTCCTAAATTTGACTAGAGGGGACTCTGTCGCTGCGATCGTTCAGCGACCATGGGAATCACGGGCAGTACACATATTTGCCTAGTCTTTGCACTTGCGGGCGGCGAATCGTACTTGCGGCTTTGCTTATTGCTGGTTACGGTTTCGTTTCGAAGGAACAAACGAACCCTTTTGGA